AACGACCCCACGGCTGAAAGGGCGAGCATGTTTGGTGGGACGGGGATGCGAACCCGCGACCCGCAGATTGCGAGTCGAGCGTCCTGACCACCTGGCCATGCCGGGCCATTGCTTGATGTTACAACGGTGTTTAAGAGTACAAACCCCATTTTACGGTTAGCATGCTAATACTAATAATAAAAATTAAAACGACAAGTAGAGTAGAGGTTACTGCCGACCGCTTGCTTCCCTACGGTCGATGGTTCAAATTTAGAGATGGCGCTACCTTACCTGGACGGCACAATGACAAATGTGCTGCGACAGGACTCCATAAATGAAGATAGGAGAGAGCCTGTGATTTTGGCCAGTACCGTAAATCCTTAGCGTGTAACCATAGCCATGGAATAGTTTTCAATTTTTTTTTTTTATCGTTTCTTTCTTATTTTTAATGTGACTGGCAATATGGCGGAAGAAAAAAAAATTACGAAGAAAAATGTTGAAAACACCGAGCCGAACTAAATTCGAGGACTTTTCTCTTTCAACTTCAGAGTTGAAAAGTGCATATTATATGTAACGACTTCTTAACTTTGGCGGAACTAATAGTCTAGAGAAGCACATTGCACATCGTACGTACTTTGAAAATTCAAATTGCCCTACCCATTTAAGGTTACATAATAACTTGATTTCTCAATTTTGTTTTTACTCATTTAATCGTTTGTACAAACTTTTGAAACGAATCGGCAGGAGCATTATATAATTCTCTAAATATAGGAAGAACAAAAAATAACTATATTTCTTACATGAACATTATTTCATATTATAATATTCATTCTTAATAGGGGACGCTATTCATTATTATGTCTAATATAATTTTTTTTCAAAAGATAAATTAGATGAATGTGTAAGACGCTGGGAAAAATATGTACAGTAATACTCGTTTCTATAGTTACAGTAAACATTACAAAAAAGGGTTACTTTATCCATCTGCATTTAAATGTTAGATGTCTAGACAGTAGACAAGTAATACACGAAAGAATTGTGTATTTGGCTACAGCATATAATACAACTAAACAAAACAGTTTGTTATATATTTTGTACTGGTCACGATCGTCAAGGTTTCTTTTCATTTTGTTCCTCAACTGTAAACTGTTAACAAATAAATGAAAAAAAATTAAAGATCATAGTTAATACATTTACTACAATGTTCTTAAGTATATATATGTTTATGCTAAATAAATTCATAAAAAAATCCATGAATAATTGGTGGATTTGTAATCCGTCATGAGTGAAAGTTTTTAAAATCAAAGAAATGGTCCCTTTATGTTACAGAAAATTAATTCCATTATCCTTAGCGGTCAGAATTATTTTTGATTCAAAACATCGCGCAAAGTTACAGAAGAGCTATCTAGTCAACACCACCCGCCGCAAACTCTTGTCTGATCGAATTATGAGATTTGACCGTCATTCCTTTAACGCACTCACGGTTCCATAGTGCGGAACGAATTTTTGTGGCAACGAGCTACGAACCATGAATTCTCGGATTCACAGTCCATGCTTTTTTTCTTTCTAGTTATTAACACAACAGGAAAATAATAACAGGAAAATTTTATACCCGAACGGTATATATATTTTATGCACTGATGGGATCAATTCTTAATACAAAAGAAGGCAGACATCTTCCTGAAACGAACTCATTATCTTTTATATGAATCGTTTTTATCGCTAGTTCATATTATTGTGTTTTTGAGTAGTCACTGGCATTACCATAATTGTTTGCCAGACTTCTGCTTACTATTATATCCTTGGGGTGAGGCACCCAAACTTTAAATACAAATCGACGGGAAAATTAATCTTACACACAACTTTCGATAACAGGCCACTTTGTTTATCTTTGTTCTAATACCAAATAAATAGCAAGGTTGTATTTTACTTTATTTTTCTAGTCATTACAATTCAGTTTAAATTGAGCATCACACGGATATCTTATTGCAGAAAAATATATTCCAGAATGTACAACATTTTAACCATAAAACGCACCCGGTAACTTTATCGGAAGTGACATTTCTTCTTCTACCACTTCCCTTCCACTACCACCCCCACCCCCCAAACATGCTCGCCCTTTCAGCCGTGGAGGCGTTATAATGTGACGGCCAGTCCCACTATTCGTTGGTAAAAAGAGTAGCTCAAGAGTTGGCGGTAAGTGATGATAACTAGCTGCCTTCTTTCCACTCTTTCATTGCTAAATTAGGGACGGCTAGCGCAGATAGCCTTGGCGTAGCTTTGTGCGAAATTCAAAATACCAAAAAAACCTCTTCTACCATATTATTGTGCTGGTTATTTAAATAAATTCAAAACACCAAAAAAAACCTCTTCTACCATATCATTGTGCTGGTTATTTATATAAATTCAAAACACCAAAAAACCTCTTCTATCATATTATTGTGCTGGTTATTTATATAAATTCAAAACACCAAAAAACCTCTTCTACCATATTATTGTGCTGGTTATTTATATAAATTCAAAACACCAAAAAACCTCTTCTACCATATTATTGTGCTGGTTATTTATATAAATTCGATTACATAGAACTTTCTTGTATTGGCAGAAGATATTGTAACGGAACATGAACTGTTGTCAGAAAGCCAAAAGAAGCAGAAGACCGTGGAAAACGCTCTGAATACAAAGTGATTATAGTTCATTTCTTGAACATAAACAACTTTCATCGGCATAAAACCTTAATAAATTAATATAAATGAGACTGGCTAAGAGAAAATTGCAGCTTCTTTTATTAGCAATAGGAAGGATTTATGTTTTTGTTTTCAGATTGAGCAAAAGATTGTTGTTGTTTTTTCATTTAATATTACAATCTTATAGTAGGGTTTAAATTATGGACTAGAAAAACAAAGAAAAGTAATTCTGGATTTGTTTTTGTACGATAATAATTTGTAGACTTTCTTTGGGCGCAATATTTGTGACAGAACTGATAATGTGATCTGTTTGTTTGTTTTTTAATTTCGCGCAAAGCTACACAAGAGCTATCTGCGCTAGCCGTCCCTAGTTTAGCAGTGTAAGACTAGAGGAAACCCAGCTAGTCATCACCACCCACCGCCAACTCATGGTATACTTTTTTTACCAACGAATAGTGGGACTGACCATCACATTATAACGCACCTCGGCTCAAAGGGCGAGCATATTTGGTGGGACAGGGATTCGAACCCGTGACCCACAGATTGCGAGTCGAGCACCCAACCACCTGGCCATGCCGGGCCTAATAATGTGAACTAGATATTTAAATTGCAACTGAGTGTGATGTTTTGTTTTCTTCTTGTTTTTCCAACTAGACCTCAATAACAATTTGAATGAAAGCATGTTTAATAATAATGCAATTTCTCGAAAACTTTTTTAAAAATCTCAAAAACGTGCACCGATATATAACAAAAAATGTATTAATGCTTTGATATATCTTCGTTATCCGAGGACTTACGATAAACCGTTCCGATAGCACATTATTAAAAGCCCGACATTCGACTTACATTCTGAGAGTCGCGGGTTCGAATCTCCTCCCCGAACATGCTCGTCCTTGCAGATGTGATGAGCGTTATAATGTGACAGTAATTCGCTGGTAAAAAGTACCCCAGAAGTTGGAGGTGGGTGGTGTTAGATAGCTGATTTACCTTAAAATGACTTTAAAATTAGGGACGGCTCACGCAGATAGCCTTCGAGTAACTTTGCGCGAGATTAAAACTATAAGTGCATGAGTCTATATGGACAAGTCCGAAGTTTTTTTTATGTCCTCCAATATTAGCAGTATTTTTGAATGTAAGCAGAAGCAACGCCAACTTGATTGAAAGCGACTTCTTGGTTGGCTGATTATAAAATTGTTAAATCAAAACTCATCACCCTAGAATACGTTGATGCATGTTAACACGAAAACTGAAAGTTCATTTTTATTTGTCAGAGAAACCTAAGTTTGATTTACTTATTCTTTCATCTATAGCAGGAACACCACGCTTCGCAATAGTTGCAACATCAACTCTACATCACGTGTTATGAATCGTTAAGTTTTGACTGGTTAAACAAGTTGATGAAATTCAAATGAAGATATTTAAATTTAATGCGAGGTTTTAAACCAGAGACAAATAAGTATAACTGATGTACGTGTAATTACGTGGGTTTCACTAGTTAATTTTTATACCTTAAAGTGGGTCATTTTAAATTTAACAATAAAGACACCTAGAATTGCACGATCTTAACAATGGTTAACGTACAGGTAACGTAGTTTCACTAGTTAATTCTTATACCTGAAAGTCGGTCATTTTAAATTTGGCGATAAATAGACATCTCAAGTCACACGATATTCATAATGGTTTTCTTACACGTTGAACATATTTTTCCGAATGATTTATAAATGCCGAAATGTAACACAGAAACAGTTAAACAGCTACATAATGAGAAGTATTTAAAAGCTTGTAATTATCACCTGTCTTACAAAGTGAATCATAAAAATTTTTAAATCTCCCTTAAGAGAAGGAATAATTTTGACTGATATTTTAAATTTATATACTCAGCATCTCGAATCTGGTCTTTAAAGTCGTCTGGCACTTACCAAAATTAATCTTCCCTTACAACGATTTAACCAATTTTCTTTGTAATTTCAATTCACAAATTCAGTACGTAATATAGTTTATTTAGGGGTAGCTGGCTTTTACCACTTCGCTTAAACCTCTTTTAATAATGTAAAATCATTTTCGTTATCAACTATACTCAGTTATTTCAATGTCAAATGTCATTAGGAAGATGTATAATGTGCTTTACGTTATCTATGAACAGTTGCTGGTTCACTGTGGTTTCATAAACTCGTAAAAAAATGCCCACCATATCAAACCCATGAAGCACTTCAAGGACCAAATAAAGAAGTTTTTTTTTATTCATTCCTTTTTAATATCGGAGTGTGACAAATAAAAACATCCATAAGAATGTATGTAATATATTTACTTTAAACCTAATCAATATTAAAATTATCCATACAATTGTTTAACTTCCTACTTTTTCTAAACCCGTAAATTATGTTCCTTAATGCATGTGCTGCCATCTAACGACTCACAATGATACTTAAAAGATTAAATTTGAAATGTAATGATACAATTTGAATGAAGAGATCAAACGCACCTGACCCTCCCAGGTCTTTAAGACCAAAAACCCGACAATGAAATGTATGTCTGTCTGGAGTATGTATTACTTGGAAATGTCTTTTCCGAACATTGCTACACAATTAAACTGAAAGGTCTTTTAAAACTATTACTGTTTAACAGCTAAGTACTTTGATGAAAACGTTAACACCATTATTATTTTCCACAAGTGAACACATGCAGTTTAATATGTTATTAGTATAAATACAAGTTTTATTTTTATCTATATTCAACCACAAAGTAATTTTGAATACTTCTATCAACTAATCCCAATCTCCAACAAAATGTGAATGTTCATCTCAACGGAAAAGTTTATTTTGCATAATTTAAATACAAATATTTTTGTGAAACATATTTACATTTCGTTTTGTCTGAGTAAACTTTTTTTACAAGCACACTTCCATACATGGTTGTCTGCAATAAATTCATTATGCAAGTCATAGCAAACTTACTCTATGCCTGATAGCGATTTAATTTTTTTGTTAATTACAATGCTGTACATTTGGACGCCTGTGATGTGCCCACCATAGGGATAAAACTCAGAATTTCAGCACTATATGCCCTTAAGTTTACCACACAAAAAAATTTATGACCCAAAACTCCTTACTAAGATCCAAAAATGCAGATGTATGATAGGTAGAAAGAGATACCTTCCTGTATACTTACTAACCAATCACAAACTACAAGGAACACTATTACTCATTCATTGTTTTGTTTTTTTTAATTTGTTGCATATCTTCACTATAAAAATGGAACAATGAATAACAATAATACTCCATATTTATTGATCAAAACTGACAGAACTCTATATATGTACATATATTATGAAAATTTCTGATATTAAAACAAATTACCAGAACTATATTTCTTGGCCAATGTTTGTGCTTGTATAGTTACCAAATAAATTTTAAATATATAAGCTAGTACGGAAGCCTAAGGGGCACAAATTCAGAGCTCAATTCAGTTGTGTAATGCTAAAGCTTCATGTTCTTCTTCTTTTCTTTTAAGTTTTATGCTGAAAGCTTATAAACATGAAAGGCATTGATAAAAAACAAAATTAATTCTCATTCTCTCCCCAAATGTTATAATATACTGATGTTTTTTTTCTATCCCAATTATTACAACTGTACATCCTGTATTCTTCAATCCAAGTTGATTAACGTAGAGTAACATCTGCAGAACACTGGTTTTTTATTGACTTTGGTATGAACAAAATTATGTAGAAAGAGAAATCATATTAGCTGAATATATCTGGAAACCTGTATCTAGTTTAAATAAACAATAAATACATTTCTGGAATCAGTGTTATGTTTATATCTGCTTTATCGTCCACCTTGTTCAGATGATCCAGAGAGGAGCACGAAAATCAACAATGGAACGATGTACATCCACTAAAAATGAAGAAAAACTAGTTAGGAACATTAAAATTAATCAACTAAATTTGTATTTTGTTTCTGTATCAAAGCCACTACGTGCCACTATTTCTAATTTCAAACAACTGACCAGATAGAAGGTAGCACTCTTCCACTCTTGTTAAGGGGGTTCAATATCACTCTTATCATGCACCCATAGCTTAAAGTGCAGGGAATATTTTGTGGTTTTGCACAGATTTGAATTTAGTACACCATTTCTGAAATCCAGAATTCTATCACAGTTAGCTAAATTATAATGTTACAATAATAATGTAATCATGGATGTTAGACAACAACAACATATTTTCATTGTTGTATTAATGATAATTTTTAAACAGCTAATTTAATTTTTGGAACCTCATCCCAGATACAGTAACTAAACAAGCACTCTCTATAATAATAATAACAAAAAGCAATTTTAATGACTGAAATTTATCTATTCATCTCTGAAAATATCACAACTTGATTTTTTTTGCATGACAATTCAAGAAAGAGTTTTTTTTAAATTTCACTTAACATTGACTACCCCTTGCATAATGATAATAATAAAAATATTAAGAAACTCATACAAACATTTTTCTGTCATGAACTGATGTCTCAAAATTGACAAGACTAAATCAAAATGGAAAATGCATGAATACTTTAGTTAAAACTGAATTTTGTTTTTGGATTACAAGTACAGAAATAAGCCTAAGAACTGCGATAAAATAATGTTTAATAGTAGATCATTTCTTAACACATTCTTTTTAACAAATACATCAGAGATTTCAGATCAAAAATGCATAAAATTAATATTTCTGAACCATGTATATCTTTTGTCTTCCATAAGAACTACACAGGAGAGCTTATTAGCAAACAAAAGTCTCGATGAAATACTATCCACGTGTAGTAAAAGCAATCAAATCTTAAAGCATTTCAGATAAATCTTTTCCCTGACACAAATCAAATACAAATGTCAAGGTCTGGTATGGAATAAAAAGTCTCTTGGGATATGACTAAAAGTAAGCAAAAGTTAGATCTAAATTCTATTTTTAAACACAACAGGTTTTAAATTCGTAATCTGCTAATTAACAAAAATATTATAAGAAAAATATTTGCAGTCTAAAATTATTTACATAATTTGTTATTAATAAGGTTCCTTGCTTCACCAACTGATCTTTATTTTCTAAATTATAGAAAACAAAAGTTTCAGTTGCAAATTCTGTAATAACAACTATTTTTAAGAACTAAGAAACTTACATATTTTGCAAGGAAAGACCTGTTATCTTGATTTTCTCCCCGGGCCTTCTCTGCTTTTTCTTTCTCTAATCGTTGAATGTAAGTTGCTGTGTCTGGACTATAAACATCAACTCATTAGAAAAATAAGAATGAAGGAAAGGGGTGGAGGAGATAATCTACAACCAAATCACTACAATGAAGAACATTACCAACAAATAATGTCATATGTAGCTCTAATACCACAACCAAAAGGATACAATATATTGAAAATAGACATTATATGGAGCTTCATTTCCATTCTCTTACATAGCTCTAATACAGCAGCGGCAAGTGGTAATTACCTAAATTTCAATTTTTTTTTATAAATATCAATGCTGATAATAAAAAGTTTCAAGTTATTTTCTTTCATTCATTTTATTCAATGATTCTAAAATATTAAACAAACATAAAAAATTGTCTTGAAGGACCGATACCTGAAAATAAGAACTAAATATAGTGTTGCTGTTACTTGCCTTTTTTTGTATACTCACTTATCATGAGTGTTTTCAACACAAAGCCTTGTTTAAACATTAATATACTAAGTACAACAAACCTTTCAAGTGCCTTATATAATCTTTCTATACAAATTCATAGCTTTCTATAGCAACATTTAATGAAGGCAGGTAAATAAGATAGCATTAAACTAGGACACAAAATGTTAAAAGCTTGGTGGAATGGCCACTGTAGGAAGTTTGGTTTGTGTTCAATTTTGCACAAAACTACACAAAGGCTATCTGTACTAACTGTCCCTAATTTAGCAGTGATATACTAGAGGGAAGGTAGCTA